CAAAAATTTTGATTTCATATCCTTTATGTACAAAACTGATTTTGACGTCAAATTTTGACTTCATATGTACGAGTCAGTTTATGCTTTATGCACAAAACTGATTCAGTACTCTCAAAGCCTCATTTCGTGTGCATGCTTTATGTATAAATAAATTTTGATTTCATAATTATACACAATACTGACTCACTGCTAGCATTAATTCAAGTAAAAACAAATTAAATTAAATTAAATTAAAAACGGCCACCAACAATGTCCAGTTCGGCATAAAAGAATAATTAAAATCCATTATTAAAATATGAACTGAAATTTCTATATTAATCCATGTAATTTGATCCAATTAATTAATTCAAAGAACCTATAATTAATCTAGCATGCATAAGGTATAAATCAAAGGAGAAGAGAAGAATTAAAACTTGTCATTATGGATTTCATAAAAACCCTAACCTCATTCTTCCTCTTTATCTTCCTTCTTTCTTTCTCTAAAATATACTACGTGATTATTTTCTAGCCCTTTTTACTAACTTATAGTTATATATTTATAGGCTAAATAAAATAACCTAATCATTTTCCCAATCCAAGTATAATTAAAAAAAAAGAAAAAAAGAAAAATATAAAAGTTAATCTAAATAAAATATTAAAAGGCAACTAATTTAAATAATATATATATATATATATATATATATATATATATATATAATCTATCTATATCCTTTATTATATAAATACAAATATATACACATCAGATTATTTATTATTAATGCTAATGTTATAAATAATATTAATTAATAAATTTTATTCCTTATACACACACACACACACACACACACACACACACACACACATACAACTATCCATGGGCAATTATGCGTACCCATTTAACCTCCCATTCAAGTAGTCCATGAGATCTAATTGATTGGTCTACTACTACTATCCATATCCAATTTCTTTAAAAATGAAAAATAAAAATAAATAATTAAATTCCTAAACAAATACACATCATCACATACAATTTAATGTAAACAAATAAATCGAATACACATAAGTTTAGCACATAATTTAATTTAAACAAATAATTCAATTAACACATGAACAATTAAATCAATTAAATAAGTAAACAAGTAGCCAAGAAATCAAATAAATAATTATAATGCAATTAAAAAAATACCAAGACTATTCTTTTGAAATTAGGGATATTACAGGATACGAGCTTGAAGTTTCGGGATTAGTGGTTAGGACCGAGGCGTACATTGCCCTGGTAGTATAGGGGAATCTTGACCACTTTGTGTGCGTTTTTTCAGGTGATACCCTCTATCAGGTTGAAGCTGCCCTATACATAGAGGAAAGTTTGATAGTGTATATATATGATCGACTATGTACCTATTGCATGAATTTGGCTAAGGGTGTATCGCTTATCGGTTCTTTGATTGGATTGTGGTAGAAAGAACTTGTTCGTGGATCCTACCCACACTTTTAGTTTTCAGATCCTCGATAGTACCAGTCCTGGAAGTCGTTCTTGCATATTAGAGACCATTCATCTCTACTCTTCCGGAGTCATCAACACAGGATACTATCTTTATTTAGTTGACTCATTAGACTTATACATTTATTAATTTCGGTTATGAATTATTATTTAGGGGTCCTTGATTTGTGGATTCTCGAGTTGTACTTTAGATGTTTACGTTGATTATGGAGTTTTATTATTTATGGGATTTATTCGGAGTTTTGATATAAGATGATTTATTAATTAATTATTATTTTAGTTCCTCTTTCAACATGATTATTATTATTTTTTATTTCATCTTGTATTTTATGCTTGTTTTAAATATTAATTATTTTGATATTCCTCGATCTTTATGCGAGAATTTGATCAACCCACGTTTGGAAATTGGGGGTATCACACTAAGCTTAACATCTGGGAGGACATTTGGTGTCAAGCATTTTCAATTTTTTCACCTGTGCATTTTATCAAACAATTGGGCTCAATTAGGGTTTAGAGGGACTTTTATCATACACTTGTGTTATGAGCTTTATTTCGCATCACAAGCACTATAGTGATACTCATTCAGCTCAAACTTGATAAAGTTTTAAAATATTAGAGAACCAATTCAACCCCCCTAAAGTTTTAAAATATTAGAGAACCAATTCAACCCCCACCCCACCCCTTCCCTTGGTTCTTTTTATAAATTTGTATGGTATATGAAAATTTTGAACTATTAAAGACCAAATTGGGTATTATGTACTTATTTTACTGAGTCGTGCGTTTGGTTCTTTATGTGTTCAAGCTTGTGGTCACAATGAGAAGGAACTATAAGAGTATGTGTTGAAATTTCTTCTCCTTATCAGGTTCCGCCACTTGTGGTGGTTGTTGATTAAGAAAATTCTTCGCCCCATAATTACCGAAAACACACTTCTTCTTTTTCTTGTGGTCGCAACAACAATATCGGTAGTGGTGGCAGAGATGAATCTTATTCTTCATACCCAATTCTGCCACTTGCAGTGGTGGTTAAAGATGAAAAATACTGAAAGTTGCCCTAACAAAGCTAGAAAATCTACTTCATTCCCATCTAGATATAGTTGATGTAGTTGTGATACAATAAGTGTTATCCACTTGCATTAATCTAATTTCTGATTTACACATTCGGTAAATTATTTTATACTTGAGACATCCCAAAACATTAATATATATATATATTTATTTATTTATTCCACACTATAAAATATGAACTTGCAGAGCCTTCCCGCAATGGTCCTTCCCCAAAAGATGAATTTTCAACTCAAATGCTATGAAAAATGCAATATTATCATTGGCAATGTGCAATAGAATCATTATTATTTAGGTCTTCTCATTTTACACTTTATTAAGACTTTTAGTGTCTTTTAGGTTGAACAATGAAATAGATGAAATGATAGCAACAACAATTCATAATGACACATTGGAGTAAACAACCTTGCCTTCCAGTGAAGAAATAAATAACTATTAATTTGTTTTCTTAAAAGAGGTGAGAAAGATTCAGGTCCATAAAAGCATGGTTAATTTTGCATTACTTTACGAGTGGCGTGCTCACTTTTACTGGGTTTCTTCTATATTCCTACAATTTTTCAGAATCAAATGGATCCAAAGTGAATCAAATATTTTTTCTGAATTTATTGAGTGAAGGTATTATTTAAATTAAGAAGGAAAATTTGGTATTTTGGAATAAGAGTTTGGAGGGAATTTTTGCATATGTGATTATTTTTTTTAATTCAACTAAAATGAAAAATAAACTTTTAAAATTGACTAATGTAAGTATAGTTTTCCCTTCAAGTAAACAAGCGCATCCGACCCAAAAGCTCAAGTTATTAGGCAGTGCTGCATACCTGCCTTTATTAACCCAAGCAGGGGTACAACCAGGATTTCATTTCAGGGGAAAAATTTATTTGATGGGAAAAAAATCAATCAACATAACAAATTTAGATTTTTCACATCGAAAGGCAAATATATATATGTTGTCCATGTTGCTACTTTGGAATGAACTATTTTAATACCTAAATTGATGTTTAAGGTTATGAGATGGTTATTTTATAATTATTGTAAGTTGGGACAAGTTTGGTATGGCCTAAGTGGTCAATTCATGACTTAGGATGAATGACAACCAATAAGAGTCCAAATTGACCATTTTCTGGGTCATTCGATCGATCGAGAGCTTCCACTCGATCGACCAATACCTTCCATACTTACAAAAATTGAGAAAACCTCAAATTCATGCCCTCAGTCCTACTGTTTGAGCTTGGACTCGATCGGTCGAGTTAGGCTCGATTGATTGAGCATACTCACTTGTCCACTGGTTTAATCCAAACTTTGAACGGCCATAATTCCTTCATTTGAAACCCAAATTGGGTCATTCTTGAGGCTAAACTAGCCAGCTCGAAGTCATATTTCCAATGATATCAATCCCACCCTCAAATTCAAACCACACTGAGAGTTATAATAGTTTTAGTGAAGTACTGTCGGGAAATCCTTCAAGCCGACAATGGGTAAAAATGGGAAACTATGCCTATGGCCATTAGAAACTTATGGAATGGACTTACTCGGTTAATGTGAGGTTACAGGGATTCATCTGACTACTCATACTCAACTCATCCTCTATATTTGCCTTGAAATGACTATTTTGCCCTTGTGCGTCCTCGAGTTCGAGTAATGACCCGTTTATCATTTTAGACCTCGGGTTTAGGTCATTACATTTCTTGAGACTCAAGGGCATGGTTTGCAGTTGCGATGTAACGGATTCGGACGAATATTGGTATAAACCAACTGGTTTATGAAAAGTGTGTAACGGTATTAGACCCCTGAAAAAGGGCTACGCGACATATCGACTGATACGGAGAACCATGCTCAAGGGTTAAACTTTCGAGGTTTGATGACTTAGAGTGATGTCGGGTTTTCTTTTTACAAAACCAATGTTTGTTTGACCTTTCGATATGCCACGTGAGTACAATATCCCAAGTTTGTTTGATTTTTTTCGTGTGCCACATGGGTATAGTTTACATGACACCTACAAAAGTAATGTTTAAGAAACAGTGATATTAAACATTGACATATAGTGTTTAGACCACTATAATAGTTATATTCTTACTTTTGTGATGATATATGATTGATTGATGATGCTAATGATATGGTATTCTAAAGAATTTTTTGGCACGCACATTACTCCCTCTTCCCTGAGCCCAAGGCCTTCCTTCTTCAGATCCGATATAGGATAATAACCTTTGACAATAAACAAGTGATAACCAATGGTACTTCCTAACCTTTTAAAGTTCATATTTCACAAGAAAGAAAAAGTTGGTAATTGAGTTTCTTTGAAAAATGTAAAATGAATAAATAAATAAATAATAATAATAATAACCAAAAAAAAAAAAAAAAAAAAAAAGGTAAACAAAAGTGGGGTGCAAATATACCCACTAGCGGCAGGTATTTCCACGTTCCATGAAGGCGCGTGAAGGTAATTTCCCTCGACTGGGCTGCTAGAGAAAAGTATTCTGAAGTTTATGAATCAAAGCCCTCTCTCTCTATTTTCTCTCTCTCTCCGGCAACAGAGCTTTGACGATGATGAGAAGCTTGTAATTGAAGGTCTGAAATGCTCTCGAAGCTCTGAGTTGAGCAGATCATAAAATCAACCATCGCGTGTGTCTATATATCTATATACACACACATATTCCCTATATAGTGGTGGTGGTGGTGTTGGAGAAATGCTGGAAAACCCTACTGATTCATCATCAACCGCCAACATTACCACCATCAAGCGCTATGCCCCACCCAATCAGAGGTATCATTATCTCTGCCTACTCTCTCTATATATATCGATTTGGAGTGATTAATTGATTGTTGTTTTGGGGGTGGCCATAATTTGGTTTTGGTTTCGTGCAGGAATCGTTCTCTCGGCAGACGCAAATCTGGTGGAGGTAAGCATCAAATTTTTTCTTACCAGTTGAATTTGCCTGTTAACCTATATATATATATATATTTTTTTTTGATAAGTACCTGTTAACCTTATACCTATGCTCATATGCATATGCGCACACACACACACACAAGTCTACATCCAGCGCTTTGCATGAATGTTTAATGAATTTTCAAGGCATGGACTTTAGCCATATCCCATTTTAGCTCAACAGTTTGGACCTGACAGTGCTGAACCGCAGTTTTGTTTAATTTAAACGCATCCGTAGTTCATGGGTAGTGAAAATTTTCTACTGCTTGAGCTTCTTAAAGTTTGAGATGAAAAACTCAGGGTGAACTTTTGGTTTATCTGTCTAGTACGTACGTGATTAAAATTTTTTGTGATAATATAATGTGTGTTTAAAATTTATAAGATCATAATCGGTTTTGTTACACAATAATGGTATTTAGTTTAGTTGATGCTATATGCATATTCAAAGGATGTATGTGAATTGATTTAGCTAATTCTCTTAATTCACATGCCAAAAACTCCATTTTATTTTGTCCAGTTCTGTGTCTTTTTTTTTTTTTTTTTCTTGAACTGTGACTCAATGGCATGTGTAAGTACACCTACAAATACTGGAAATTCTCGAAGAATGAATGGTTAAAAAGAGAGAATGGAAGGTTAGGGCGCTTCATCATTATCTCTCATACTGTCTAATCTTCATTTTGTTTGGTGACTTGGGTTGACAAATTTTGTTATGAAATAAATCTTAAAAATTAGTTTAGCTAGTTAGGGTTAAGTGTTACCTTCCGATCTGAAGGTTCATTGAAGAATAAGCTGAAATTGAAGATGTCAACAAGGGTAAAAAGGTAAAGTCACATCCCAAGTTTTAAACCCCCTAGTTAGTGTTTTGATTTATGCATTCATATCATTCATCATGATTTTTATTATTTCGAACACTTTGCCGATACATCTTGGACACTTGGCTGACAAATCTCAGACATTTGGTTGACAAATTTTTGATACTTGACCAACACATCCCACAATTTTTTTTTTCTTCTCTCTCTCCTCTCATAGTTGGTACTCACACACACATGCCTCCACTGAGGCTTGAACCTTTGACCTCCCTTTGGGAGGTAAGGGGCTAATATCGCTAGGCTCCCATTGGTACCCACTCTCTATCTTTATAAAACAAACACATGACAATCTTGGAAACAAAATTATGCACATACATCAAAGTGTCCAATCCCATTTTTTCTTTAAAAGTTTGACATTAAACATGTGTCGAAGTAAGTAATGGAACTATATATATATAACTATAATGACAAGATAGAATAGTAATATCATATATAATATAGTGACAAGATAGACTGAAGAGGAGGTGGCTGATGACTTGGGATCTATCCAACAGGTCTGCTTTACTGAGCCTCAACCTTGGCTGAAGGATGACTCTAACATATCAGTGGTGGAACCACTGGCAGTGATGAGACCTGATGATGAGGTTACTGATTTGGGGAGGGACTGGGTGGTTGATAACATTGGAACTACCAGTGAGTTGTTGGGAGTTTCTTCAGAAGGTAATAATGCTCAGACTTTATCTTTTCTTTAAACAATTGTGACTGGAATTGAGATAGCAATCAGTAATGAAGTTATAAACACAAAGCCCATATCGTCTTGGAAAGGAATTTACGAGATTAAGAATCTCGTCTCTAATGCCAATTACGACAAGAAGAAAGGCGTGGTGATGGAAAGGGGCAGGACTAGGAGTAGGAGTTTGAAGAAGGGGGGAGGGGAGTTAATCTCAACTGGTTTTTAATGAAGCTACGAATCATTACATGGAATGTTCGTGGTCTCAATGACCCGAATAAAAGAAGGGTGGTGAAGGTAGCTTTAAGGAAATAGGGGCCCAGGTTGTTTGTTTGCAAGAAACCAAGATGACATCCATTACTGATGGAGTGGTTAGAAGTTTGTGGGGAGGAAGGTTTGTGGAATGGGAGGCCTTGGATGCTATAGGTTCTTTGGGTGGTATTTTAGTTATGTGGGACAACAGGTGGTTGTCCAGAATGAATGTGTGGAAGGGGATATTTTCTGTTTCCTGTGAGTTTAAGATGGAAGAGGATAATTTCAAATGGGTTTTTTCTGTGGTCTATGGACTGGTCAATGATGCTGAGAGACTTATTTTATAGGAGGAACTAAGCCACGTTCAAGGACTATGCTCTTTACCATAGTGTTTGGGTGGGGATTTTAATTCAGTCAGGTTTCCGTCAGAGAGGTCTACTCGGGGAAGAAGGTCCATAGACATGGATCAGTTTTCCGACTTTATTGATGAGCACCTTCTTATTGATCTTCCAATGGAAGGTGCAACCTTTACATGGTCTAATGGTAGAGACCTAGTTACTCTCTCAAGATTGGACAGATTTTTGATCTCTGGGGAGTGGGAAGAAAAATTCCCAGATGTTGTTTAGGCAGTTTTAGAAAGGGTTACCTCTGATCATGTTCCTTTAGTTTTGGATTGTGGTGGTTTGTGTTCTAGAAGAACCCCATTCCGTTTCGAGAATATGTGGCCGAGAGTGGAAGACTTCCAAGGGACAGTTCATTCTTGGTGGGAGGGAGCGATCGTTACAGGTGCGCCCAGCTTCATATTAACACATAAATTAAGAGCTCTCAAACTCGCTCTTAAGTAGTCGAATAACGATGTCTTTGGAAATCTTGAATGGAGGAAGAATAGAGTCTTTGCTGATTTTTCTGACATTAATCGGCTTGAGGAGGCGGGTGGGAATGTGGAGTCTCTTTCTACTAGAAGAGCTTCCTGTTAGACAGTTCTTGCTGAGATTGCTTGTATGGAGGAGATTTCATGGCGACAAAAATCCCGGGCTCTTTGGCTAAAAGAGGGAGATCGTAATACAAATTTTTTCCACAGACTTACTAATGCTCATAGAAGGAGCAATCATATAGGACGTCTACGGGTTGAAGGCGTGGAGTTGTGGAGGGAGGAAGAGGTGCACAACGGGATTGTTTCTTTTTATCAGAAGCTTTACACAGAACCTTTAGGTTGGAGACCTAAGCTTGATGGTTTTCCTTTTGAGGCTATTTCTGTGCTGGAGAGAGATGAGAGCTTCCTTTTACTGAAGAAGAAGTTCTTAAGGTCTTATCCAGTTGTAATGGGAATAAAGCCCCTGGGCCAGACGGGTTCACTCTGCGCTTTTTGTTAGAAAGCTGGGTGGTTGTGAGAAATGAAGTGATGAGTACCTTTCAGGAGTTTCATTCTACTGGTGTCTTTGAAAAATCGCTTAATGCATTATTTATTGCCCTTATCCCTAAGAAGGGAAACGCTTCAGATATTAAGGACTTTCGTCCTATTAGCTTAGTGGGTTGTATTTACAAACTTATAGCTAAAGTGCTTGCTCATAGAATCAGAGAAGTTATGGATGGGATTATTTCAGATTCCCAGAATGCCTTTGTTGGAAGATGGCAAATTCTTGATTCAGTTCTTATTGCTGGTGAATGTGTGAATTCAAGGTTGCGTAGTGGTGTTCCTGGAGTTCTATGCAAACTTGATATTGAGAAAGCTTATGATCATGTTAATTGGAATTTTCTTCTCTACTTGCTTAAAAGAATGAGGTTTGGAAGTAGATGGAGAACATGGATTGAGACATGTCTTTCGTCTGTCAAGTTCTCAATTCTTGTGAATGGTTCTCCAGCTGGTTTTTCGGGTGCTCTCGGGGTACAAGACAAGGTGACCCATTCTCATCTTTTCTTTTTCTTATTGTTATGGGGGGCTTAAGCAGACTCATGCGCCAGGTAGAGAATCTTGGTCTTATTAAGGGATTCCGGGTGGGAAGTGATATTGTCAATCAGGTGGAGATTTCACATCTACAATTTGCAGATGACACTCTGGTTTTCTATGATGCAGATGTGTCTTAACTTAGATATTTGAGATGCATTCTGGCTTGCTTTCAGGCAGTTTTCGGGTTAAAGGTGAATGTGGCCAAGAGTGTGTTTGTTCGGTCGGGAATGTACAGGACATTTCTTCTTTAGCTGCAGTTCTTGGGTGCAGGGTGAGTTCCTTTCCTATCCCTTATTTGGGATTGCCTGTAGGGGTTTCTTCCAGGTTAGTGGGGAGTTGGGATTATGTGCTTGATAGGTATGCAAAGAGGTTGGCAGGTTGGAAGAAGTAATATTTATCTAAGGGGGGTAAAGTAACTCTTATTAAGAGCACTTTATCAAGCCTTCCCACCTATTTTCTTTCTTTGTTCCAAATTCCATGCTCCGTTGTTGATAGAATTGAACAAATTCAAAGGAATTTCCTTTGGGGAGGAAGGGGAGATGAGTTCAAGTATCATCTTGTTAGATAGAAGCAATTATGTAAGCCTATAAAATTGGAGGGCCTCGGTATTAGACGATTGATTCCTTTTAATCAAGCTCTTATGGGTAAGTGGTTATGGAGATACGGGAAGGGAAGAAATCTTCCTTGGTGCAGATTAGTATCTTGCAGGTATGGTGAAGATGTTGGCGGATGGACTACACATCCGGTTTCAATTGCGGGAGGAGTTGGGGCTTGGAAATCCATTCGGGAAGGATGGGATGCCTTTTCCTCTCATATCAGATTCAGAGTTCGTGATGGTAGTTGCGTTCGTTTTTGGGATGATCTTTGGTGTAGGAACCAACCTTTATGTCGTACATTTTCCAGATTATATAGTATTGCAGTTGATAAACATGTCATAGTAGCTAACTGTTATCAGCTTGATAATAGTGAGATTACGTGGAATGTTCATTTTCGGCGTTCATTTCAGGATTGGGAGTTAGAAGAGGTGAGCATTTTCTCGGATCAATTGTATTGGCAAGCAGGAATTGGCAGGGGTTATGACAATTTGATTTGGATTCCCTCCTCTCACGGGCGTTTTGCAGTAAGGTCTTTGTTCTTATGTCTGTCTAATTTTGCATCCTATGATTTTCCATGTAAGACTATTGGTGTTCTATGGTTCCTACTAGGGTGGCATTCTTTGTATGGACTGCTGT